TATTGAATGGTGGGCTGATGATGGCTGATGTATGCTGTAGGAATCTAGCTGCGGGGCTCAAAGGCCCGAAGGCTGGGGCGTGCGGTCGCCCAGGGCGGGTTGTGCGGCCCCAAGTCGCAGGTCCGTGTCCATAAGGTGGGTGCGAACACCCATCCCCGAGTGTTCACGTGGCTTGTGACTTTGGTGGTTCGCACTTGGTTCACGTGGGTTGCCATGGAAGCTGCATTGGCCATTGCTGACGGCATTCTTCAGGATCCTTTGAAAGCTGAGCTGCGTTCCCTCCTGCACAATGTTTCGACGGCTGGTCCTCATCTGGCGTTGGATGATCGCATTGTGCTGGGTGGGGAGGTGGTTTCCGTACTGCAGGAAGAGTTGGTCCTGGCCCTCTTTCCCTTCAAGCCGGTACGAGGGTTTGAAGCTGCCCCAAGTGATGAAAAGATGATGCGAGTGAAGATTCCGGGTTTGGGTGAACGATCCATCCACACGGTGCCTGGGTTCCAAGTGATGTGTGCTGGAAAGCCAGTTTTCTGGAATGACATGGTCTATGAATTTGACTCCAAGGTGGCGGTGACCTTCCGGCCCGAGATTAGTGATGCGATGCCATGGAATTTCCTCCACCTCTTCAGCGGATCATTTGGAGGATGGAGTCAAGCCGCCTCATTTTTGCAGAAGGCTGACCTCGGTTTCTCTCTGGGACAGGAAATTTCTGTCGACAGTGATGAAACCGTCATGCAGATTTGGAGTGCCCAAGCTGGCAGTGTGCATCTTCGAGGACCTCTTGCTCATGATACGAAGTGGTCGCCCGCACAAAAGATCGGCATCCTCACATCAGTGAGTGACTGGTCACTGACAAATGTGCGCCGGATCCAGACAAACCTATGTTGCACAATCTCACCTCCGTGCCAGAGTTGGTCGAAAGCCGGACGACGGATGGGGCTGCAAGACAGCAATGGCTGGGCATTCATTGATGCCATCAAGATGACTACCATTGTACAGCCGATCACAATCGCAGCGGAGTGCAGTGATGAAATCACGGAGCACCCTCATTTTAAGATTCTTGAGGCGCTTTTTCACTCGCTTGGATTTCGGCGAACGTGGACTCAGGTCACACCATATCATGCTCTTGCCGACCATGCCCGTTCTCGCTGGCTGTGCACGTGGGCTAGAGCTGATGTTCAAGCTCAATCCATTGGATTTTCCTTTGCCCTCAAAGCTTCTCCCAAAACACCTTGGGATGACCCAGCATACCACTTTCGTATTCCTGATGTGTGGGTCAACCAGCTGGTCCTTTCAGAATCTGAAAAAGCTATTTACAATGACCCAAAGCTTTTTCCAGGTGTCAAGCGCAAGCGACCAGATGGGGACAATGCTGCTGCCCATCACACCTTGTGGGCTAGAGTTCCAAGTGGACATGAGATTCTTCCAACGCTTTGTGCATCGTACTCATCACAGCACACCCTCGCTAAGGTGCATGTGCAAGACCGTGGGCTGTTCACATTCTTGAACCACACCAGCCGTGGGTTCGAATTCTTCGATCCTGCCAGGTTCTGTGGGCTTCTTGGAGCCACCGAGGACAGAGCTTTTCCAACTAAGGTGCAATCAGCTTTCCGAGGAGTAGGCAACGCCATCTCAGTCCCTCATGGCCTGTTGGCGATTTCGATTTCGATGCACACAGTTGGCCATTCTGGCATTGACCCACTCAAGGCTGTTCGACAGGCTTGGCATGCGCGTTTGTGCGCCCGGAATGCCGTCCTTTTCCAGCAGGAGGCATTTGTTCATATGGTCCATGTTGATCACATTGATCAATGGGTGTCAGTGAGGCAGGTGTCTGATGCGCAAGGGACTCATCATGTCCTGATTCAAGGGTCTTTTGGCTATCACCAAGTCAATTTGCATGCCCCTCAGAATGCATCGTGTGGCCAAGTCTTCCAGTTGCTGTTCGCAGGTCCCAAGGAGCTCATAGACATGATGGTCTTTCGTGCACAGGATAATAACCCCAACAAGCATTCGTGCATTGTCCAGCTTGCAGGTCCCAACATCCGTTGGGACTTTGTTGTGGCCGGAACCCCCCTGGGGTCATGCTCGGTCGTCATCGTGCCGAAAGCTGAGGTCATCAATGTTCCTGACGAGGATGACATCCCCATCGACCAGACTTTCCAGATTGCTGATGAACTGCCATTTGAGGACACATGCAAGCAGTCCTGGTTTCAGCAAATCTTATCTTGCTGTGATCGGATTTCGTCAGGCTGTGGCAATCCACAACGTGTTGTCTTCCTGCACTCGGTTGGACAGTGTGACTTTCAGCTATGTGGCAAAGGAAGTGAGCTCAGATCCATTGCTGATGACATCGCCCGTGCTTGGAATGGTCACGTTGTTGACCTGCCGATTGATCATGCATTGCTCACCCATTTGGTCTGTCGTACAGATGAGTCCACCAGGGGACAAGTCCAGGTTGCCTTGCACTTTCAATCTGCTGACAGCTTTTGTTTGGTCCGCCTACCATGGAGCATTTCATCGCATACCACATTTGAGTGGAGGGAGAAGGTGCTCGCCATCCAGGCTGTCAATGGTAGGCCACCGCAGCAGCCAATGATCCGACTCTCTGCAAATGATGTACTACATGTTGAATGTGGTGAATGCATCCGGGCCGGAGGACACCACGAGGCCCCTGGGCCGAGGCCATCATTGCCTGCGAGTGCCCCATTTGTTGACAGAGCAGAGTTCATGTGCAATACCCAAGGATGGGTTGCCAGTGATGAAATGGCGATGTATACACAGGAAATTCAATGGCACCAGATGTTCTACAAGTTCACTCCGCCTATTTTCTGGGATCCAAATGATGATGAATTTGAGTTTCCTGAATCTGGTGAGATACACATTTTCAATGGCTGCACCACAGTTGTTCCAGTTCTCATCACGAATCACTGGAGTGCTGTCGAGATTCATCGTGGTGAACATGGCACACGAGTTGTCTTTGTCCAGGTGCAACAGAATGTTCGCAACAAGTTGACACACATCGTTGCTCGGCTTTTGGACATTGCACCGCATCGCTTCGAAGTCATCTACGATGGTGATGCTGTCCCTCCTCACCTGTGTGGCTGGCTCTTGTTGTATCGTTGGATCGCGCATTTCAACATGCACAACAACTTGGCCAACCAGGTCAATCAGTCACCGTTACCACAACATGTGCTGGAGATCATTGACACATGCATCCAGTGCTCAATTGAAGACTGGCGCCGGTGCAACATGCCGCAAGATGTCGCCCAGGTAGTTTTGCAACTCCGAAGGAATTTCTTGTGGCACCGGGCACGACGTGAGGCCATTGGTCAACTTGTGATCCAGCAACGGCTGACAGTTGCCATTCCGACTCCACAACCAGTTGTCCGACCTCAACCGCAAGAACCTCCCAGTGCCATCACAGAAATTCTGGCGAGGCTACATCATTTCCAGCAATACCCAGGCTGGGCAGCCACTGATGAAGTTGACTACACAATGGACCTATTGCGGTCACATCACCCTGAAACATTGTTCTGCCCGCCGGCTGTTTGGGTGCCCACACGATCTGAGTTTGCGTATCTCAATGATTTAGTGCCGGACATCTCATCCTATAGCCACATCTTCTGGAGTGTTGTGACCTTGAACCATTGGGTACAGATTGAACTGTATATTGCTCCGGAAAATGCAAGATTCTACTTCACGGTTCCCAATTCCATTCGCCAGACTTTGCTGCCTCTCATCAACTACATCATTGGGATTGCACAAGTTGAGCCTGAAACTGTCACAGTTGAGACCATTCATCAAGACACTCCGCATGGGCTTTGTGGATACCACATGCTGCATCAGCTCTTCCACCGGGTCTCCTTGGACTTTGCACCCCTTCGTGATCCACAACTTCAGACAATCTGGAGGCACCAGCTTGGAGAGGAAGTTGAGGAAATCAGGAATGAAGCCAGACTTCTGTGGCACAACTCTGGTGCCGAGGAGGAGCTCATTGATTTCGCTGCCAATGTTCGTGATTGGTTCATCATCCGTGCGTTGGAGCGCCGATTTCCTGACCATTACATTGCTGGTGGTGCGGTTGATGATGTTGACATGGCGTCTCATGATGCCTCGGCCAAAACCAAATCCAAAGTGCCTGACGCCTCTCCTGGTGGTCATGCCACGAGTGCTAGCAGCAAGACTCCCAGTGATCCATGGCTGCACAATGATCCGTGGGCTAAGCGCCCACCACGGCCGTCGCAATCCAAGTGGGAAGACCTTGTGATAAAGGAGCCTGTTCCTTTTGTTGATGAGCATGACAAGCACCTGAGCCAAACACATCGATTGCAGTTGGCTCCAAGCCGAGGTGGTGTCGTCTTGGCCACCAAAACGCATTTGCCAGAGATTTCGAAGATCCAGGCAGCTCCGCACCTTTGTGTGCTGATCCCTGCATCGGACTCGCCGAGTCTGGCTCATCTGGCCAACCGTTTGGAAGGGCCATATGAAGTGTCGCTCCATGACAACACAGCGAAGATTTCATACAAGCGCCTCGTGCACATGATTGTTTTTGCTGGCAAGGTGAGGTTTCAATTACCTGAAGCTACTTACAAGATGACAACACCAGCTGTTGCCGAAGTTGTCTTGGAATTTGACTCGCGCCTCACCGTCAAGAGTGACATTGACAAGATCAAAGAGTCTCCCATTGCCATGTTCAAGCAAGCCGTCAATGAGGCCCTTCCGAACCTCAGCGCCGCCATCACTCTATATGGGTACCGCATTGCGCACCACCCAGGTGCAACAAAGCAGGAACGTCAGCTTCAAGTGTGTCTTGAAAGCGCCATCGATTTCCCGCAAGTCGCTGTTGGAGAGCAGTGGCGTGTCCAACCTCTTGGTTCGGGACTATCTGGAAAAAGGAAAAGGAAGCGAAGATACCACCGTGCTTCCACGGTTCTGGGCTGTCAGGGGACCCCTGGGTTTGCTGGCATTATCGTTACCCGCAGGGGTTTGGCAGTCCGCGTGTGGGCAGATCAAATCAAGGATGCCCGACAAGCCCTGATGTCTGCTGACAATAGATTGGTTCCAGAAAACCTACACGTCATCCCAAAGGTGTCCCTGGAGCTCTCCGGATGGCCTGCGGCCACAGACGCCAGCAATGTAGTGCAATCAACTCTTGCTGCACTCAAACTTCCAGTGATCCCTATGAGGACATACCGTGCAGCTGGTGTCCACACGTGGGTGGTAACAGCTCAGGAGCTTCCAAAAGCTTTTCGCTTTACGCTGGAGATCAATCGAGAGCTTGTGGAAATTTTGGTTCAGGAAGTCAGCGCGAACCA